TATTGTTAATGATCATTAAGCCAAGATGATTAACTAATCAAAAATGTATAATATTACAGTTAAACAAAATGAGGCCTAAAGCAACAAAAATAAACTGTGCATGTCCTATAGTGTTGCATGAGTCCTAAAGTTCTTTGCTTTTAGCTGATGAGCTCCATTACTGAGCATCACAATAGTGATGCGCATAGCTATCAGCATTTGTGATTGCTTTATCACTTAGGATTGTTTTTAGCCAAATACTTACACAAGTCCTGACCATACTTTCAGAGCTATAGTCAATAGTATCGGCAAAACTGTGAGACCATTCATGAAGCAGGGTACCCTCCTTGCTTTCTGCAGTCTTTCTGCAAGACGTTTGAGTATTGTAGTACAGCCGACAAAGATAGACTGTATCCCTAATATTTCCCCATACATATAGGCATACTTGCCAGCTTCACAATCTGGGCCATTGTTGTAGTATGTTATGGCAGTGTGAGTTAGTCTATTTTTATATCTGTATTTATTTGCCGTAGCTGTCCTTCCAGTATCATATGCTAGTAGATATAGCAATACCTTAACTAATTTGACCTTTAGCTGTATCACCACAGAGCTTCATAATGAGCAGCCAGAGTCTCCTTATATCATAAAATATTTGTCCTGTAGTTTTTGTCAGCTGTTGAGCTCGCTTAAGCATGCTTTGTGGGAAACCCTGTTTGAAATAATGTACATGTACATGTATATAGTGTAGTTACATGTTTATATTGTGTGTATTTCTTTAGAAGAAAGACAGAGGGACTGCCTTAGTATCTACTAAGGAACATGCCAGGCCAAGAAATATCGGTAAACTACATGTACATATTTTATGCATAATAATTTTTATTTTGCACATTTAATGTACATGTACATGAAGCATATTGTACAGTTTTGCATCATTTACATATGTTAAATTATTGATACATGTACATGTATAGTATACAAGTATACCAGGTAATATTTTACCATTACCATGAATAATTCCAGTCGTGAATATGTCCCTATCTTTGATATACTGTACAACTACAATACACGACTACATGTACATGTTTTTCCCCGTCAGGTGGTACAGAAGTGGTAGATGATTTGAGATTAACATTAGACAAGACTAAACGCTTGCTAGCCCTTCAATCCAAAATATCATCAGATTACAAGAAAGAACTTGAAATACTACAAAATGAAGTTAAGGAAAGACGGAATGAGTGTGAAGATTTGAAGCAAATGCTAGACTTGAAGAATGATAAAATCAAGGTTAGTAGTACATGTATATACCATATAGCTGGTTTATTTCGTGTGGAATTAATTTTCGTGCAGGCTCAAATCCACTAAAATTAATTCCACTAAATTTTATTAAAACTAATTAAATATTAACAAAAATTTAGCAAGGCACTAAAATTAATTCTAATGAAAATTTAAGCAACAAAAATTTAAGGCCACAAAATAAACCAGCTATACGGTAATATTGTTAATAATTGTACATGTACGTGGTAATTTTACTGAGTACACATACCGGTACATTTTATTTAGGAAAAAATACATGTACATATAGATGTACATTTATTGCAAAATATATTTGTCACTTGATTACTGTACAGTACTTGTACATGTACGTACATCACCATCTTTTGGAAATTATCTTTGACCCATTTTTTTGTGACTAAGGCGAGTAAAATTTCTCTTTTGGTTTTTATTTTTATGAATGTACATTGACCTGTCTTAAGATAAAAGGATAAAACTTTTAATAATTAAAATTCTCAAAATCTACAAAAATAGTAGAAATTTTGGGACCATCGACCACATACAATGTACATGTGTGTGTAAATTTCTAGCTACTTGTATACAATGTATCTATGGTACGTAAATTACAGTACATGTACATGTATTTCATGGTCATCTATTCTTTCAATAGAAGTTAGAGTCACGTTTGGCGGAGGTTGCTTATAGAAGAAATAGACCATTTACTGGACACACTCCAGTACCAATCAGTAGCACTGAAATGTTTGAAGTTCAATCAAATTCAACTATCAACATATCAACTACTAAACATGCATCAACTAATGAACATAATAATAAACTCCTTGAAGGACAGTATATTAATGATCACTCAACTGCAATAGAAACTACTTCATCTCCACAAACAGCAACTCAACATGTTCCTTCTCATTCCACTGACACTCACTTTACTCCCGTCTCTCTTTCACCATCAACTGTCTCTCATTCTCCAACTGGCTCGCCCACTCAATTTAAAACTGGTTCGCCCACTCGTTCTCCAACTGGCTCACCCACTCAATTTAGAACCGGCTCACCCCCTCAATTTAAAACTGGTTCACCCACTCCTTCTCCAACTGGTTCGCCCACTCATCTTAGATCCGGCTCACCCACTCAATTTAAAACTGGTTCACCCACTCGTTCTCCAACTGGCTTGCCCACTCATTTTAGAACCAGCTCACCCACTCAATTTAAAACTGGTTCACCCACTCAATTTAAAATTGGTTCACCCACTCAATTTAAAATTGGTTCACCCACTCGTTCTTCAACTGGTTCGCCCACTCAATTTAGAACTGGCTCACCCACTCAATTTAAAACTGGTTCACCCACTCATTCTCCAACTGGTGTATCATCAGATGTTACTCCTTCATTAAGAGATTCTGTTGAAGTGAGTCCTTCTCCTCCTGTTTCTCCTCATGTTAGAGTGTCTCCTGGTAAAGACAGACTAGCAGTAACTGATGATACATTGTTTGGTGATAGTTCATTTGAAGAAGAAGGTACATGTCCTTGTACATGTACTGTACATTGTATACATTGTGTACATGAACAATTTTGAGGTCCAAAAATTGTGACATAATATATGCACTTAAAATTTTAATTTTCTATTTAGCCATATACATGTAGCAGGCCAACATACAGTTGTGACTTTTGCTCAAAATTTTGGGCGACATACATGTACACGTACATACATCATAATGCATGTACATGTACATTTTACCTGTAAATGTACTCCTTATGCTATGCACAAATTTACTGGTACAGTGTATTTTATACATCTAAAACTCTCTAATTTTCTGATGCATATAGTACAGGTACATGTACATGTACCATTTATGTGTCGATGTATTTCATTTGCACTATAATATTTAGATATACCCCTCCCTGATATTACACCTACTGAGGACTCACTGAGTGAAGATGAAGTGAAGTATAAGAATGACAGTCCTGTATTATTGCATGAAGCTAATGATTTGCTATCAACTAAACTGAATACAGAAGAGGTACATTATACAGTGATTCTACTGTTATTATAATTGTGGTAATTAATGGTGATGAAATTTCAATATCATGTTTGCCTTTTTGGTACTTCTTATGTAAGTCCTGGCTTCCCACTAAGGTATAAAAAAATAAGCTCATTTCTAAAAATGCTTATAACCGGGAAAATACATACATGTATAATTATTTGTCGAAATCAACTCAAACTCTCAATATAGCATATAAGGACATCAATATGTATCAGCTAAATGTAATAAAATTGGGGTTATTTCAAAGCCATTGTTATGAAAGAACCATAGGCTATAGCCTTTGCTTTTTTTTCAAAAATCTGCTCATTTTAAAAATGCTTAAACTCAAGGAACATTTATCAGAATCAATTCAAACTTTCTAGACAGCATAAGGACATAAAAATTGGGGGGGGGGGGTGATTTTGAAGCCATTCTTCTAAAAAAATTATGGGCTATATACATTTACATGTAGCCTTTGCTTCTTCTCAAAACTTGGCTCATTTTTTAATGCTCACTAATTCAAAAAAATATTTTGTCGGAATCAGTTCAAATTTTTTGCACAGCCATAAGAACATCATTATATTACATTTTAAAATCCAAAAATGATAATAAAAATTGGGGATCATTTTGAAGCCAAAAAACCATGGTCTATTACTTTAACTTTTAGACAAAGAAGCACATGTACATGTACAGGTGTACATGCTCATGCATGTATAAAAATTGCAGTCTTGATAAAAGCTACAATGTACATGTACATTATAATAATGACAAAATATTTAGGTTTCTAGTGAAGTATTTTTTGTAAATTTGTAATGTATGTACATGTATGTACGTGTATACTCAAATTATAGTAGTCATCTCTTTCTCCCTGTCTCTTTATCTTTAGGTATTTTTTTCTCTAACAATTATCTCATTTACATTAGAGGAAGATGCTGCTGTACTATCTGATCCTAATGTTAATAATATATTTGTTGAATATTCTTTTCTTGATTATGATATTGATGAATTGGAAACGCCTGTATCTCTGCCAAAACCACCTCCTGGACAACCGGCCATCTTTAATTTCACAACAGGTAAAAAATGCATGTACATGTATGCATGTACTTAATGTAATTATGTACAGTATGCATTTATACTGTACTGTGTTTGCTGATTTACTGTATACAGTGTACATGTACATGTATATCTGGCTATTTTTATGGGACTATATTTTATGGCTTGTACCTAGTGAGGCATTATGTGTTTTGTGTACTAAATCATAATATACTGTACATGTCAAATAATTATGTAGTGTACATGTACATGTACATGCATAAACATGAATATGTATTTACAATGCTTGTGCATAGTTATAATTTTAATGGTTGACAGTTTAAAGGGAATGGATCTTCAATTATTTAATGGTACACCTCAAACCATGAAAACCATAAAATACATGTACATATACATGCATGTATGATTATACATGTATATGTATGTGTGTACTGTACGTGTATGTGTACATGTGTTGTTTTTTGCAGATTTTCACATTCTCCCAATGAGCAATTCAATGAATTTATTACAAGAATTCTTATTGAGTAATGAACCAATGTAAGTTCAGTATTATGATATAGTATGAGAGTATAATGAAGTACTGTATAGTGAGTTTTTTAGGATAATCATTTTCATGAATGACCTAGTATTTATAGGTTTACAAAATAATTTTCTTGGATTTTCACTATTTTGCCATCTTGTACTGTATTAAATTGATTTTCAGGGAATTTAATTTTGCAAAATCTTAAAATCTGCAAAATTCTCGAAACTTGTTATCCTAAAAAACCCCTACTATAATGGTATATGACATTTTGTACTGTACACTTATAGAATAGAACTGAACCTAGTCCATGATCCTCAAGAAGAAGATGATAATGATAATATTGAATGTCAGGAACTGGGTACCGCTAATTTGAAACTGTTAGAAGTTAGTGCAACAAATAATTTATGTCACTATCAATAATTATTACAAAATTTTCCAAGAAAATGCCAAGAATTTATGTACATGTAAACCTTCTTGTCTTTGCATTTCGTAGTATAATGGTGTCATTAACTCATTATTATCATAGATATTATATTATCTACATGTATATGTTATTATCCTCTATAATGATAGGAAATGTATTATTTACATTTATTTATTATTGTACTTAGATATTGCAGAGTGAAGAAGGTGATTCTGTCGTTGTTGATGAAGACGGTAAGAAATAATGAAAACTCTGTGTTTGTGTGTGTTTGTACAATCAGTGTTTCTCAGAAAGCATGCTAAGTGAACTAAATAGTACATGTCTTTTGGAGTAAATCATTTAAGAATTTGTAAAAAAATCTATTTTTGATGGGAATCAACTCAAACTTATGGAGAATTCTCTCTTTTTCAATTTTGACAAATTTGACTAAAGACCATGTACAGGGATTTAGGCCCTAATTCTGAGCAACTTTCATATTCTTAAAAAATTCAGTTTTGATTGGAATCAAGAGTAGATAATTATCCACTCTTGTCGGAATCTATTCAAACTTTCTACACAACATAAGAACATGTACATGTATATGCATTAAGAAAAGCTATAACATTGGCAAATTCTTTCTGTTTTGATTTTAGCAAAATTTGGCCAGTGACCCTGTAGGACTATGGTCCAAATTTTGAGCAACTTTTAAAATTTGTAAAAAAATTCAATTTTGATCGGAATTAGCTCAAACTTTCTGCACAACATACTGTAAGTACAGAAAATTTCAATTTTGACGAATTAATTTGGCCCAAGACCATAGTACAGGGACTTTGGCCCCATTTTGAGCAACTTTTAAAATCTTGATCAGAATCAGCTCAACTGAACTTTTTACCCAACATAATATTACATGCATAATTATATAGTCATTTAAATGATATACATGTATCATAACTTAATCTTGTGGTAAACCTATACTGTACATGTATTTGTATGAAAACTGAGTAGTATAGACAGTTCTATTTTAGTTTATCTCTTGTTATTATTACTGACTATTTTTCTCATTTATCTATTTATTCAGTATTGAGTGTTGCTGATCCAGATGAGATGATGGGTTTCCTAACTATACAGATATCAGGGCTCAAGTCTCTGAAACAATTATCAGACAAACTAATAAAGAAATAGAATTCAATGATAACTTTATATACTTTGAATTCTTAATCTCTAGTTATCTAAACAGTAAATTCTCTGATATAATGATCAAGATAATGATAGTAATAGTCTTGATATCTATAGAATCAGACAGATTTGATTCTTTCTCATTATAAGCATGCACATCTACATGATGTACCATCCCATCAATAATGAAGAGCAAGAGTACTCTTGTGAAGAAGAATCACAATGACTGTTAACAAAGATAATAGAGTAAATGTACATGATCTACTGAAAATAATAATAATAATAATTAACAGTGATTTTAAAGTTGTTTCAAGATATCCTCCTTACACTTCTCGGACACTTGGCCTAGCTTTGACAGCATGCTCTCAGCCAATGACTCTGGAATACCAATCTCACTTGCATAGACTTTACTATACTTGGCTATGATATCGTATTTTTTGACATCAAAATTGGCTGCTACTTTCTCTTCAAAAATCTCCATTGCTTTACCTGTGATACCCTTTGAACGACACAGTGCAAAAGCAAGTTGGACCTCTGGTACTTCACCTATACATTCAAATGGTTTCTGAGTTCCCAGGCCGAGCATCTGAAAAAAGAAGACTTGGTTCTCCTCTACATCAAAAACATTCTCATCGCCAAAAGTATCATGAATGGTGTCTTTGGAAAAATAGGCTGAGAATCCCAACCAGACATAGCAGCACTTTGGACAGCGAAGACACCATGGTTTACCAAAATTACATGAGTGAGTGAAAGGGACAGCAGAAGCATAGGGAGTAAGATAAGAAAATATCAAAGGATCATGTACTGGCATCAAAGAACTGAAGTATGACAAATTAGATATTAAATTCTCTTTGATATATGATGAAAGGAGGCTCTCGCATTCATATGATTTTATCCACTGATGATTGATCTCTTCACCATCCCAAACCAAATTACCTTTATTGGCACTGCGCTCATTTCCTAAGCAAATACTTGTATAGCCATGCATTAGCACTAATGGTATTGTTTCAAATACAGCACTGAATAATTCAAAAGCTACAATGGATTCAACTTCAGCGTTAGGAATTACTCCAGGAAGAGGTGAGCTAAGGAATGTGTCTATGATGGACAGTCGGTGGTGTGCCTTCGATGCAGTGTACTCAACAAGAGACTCTGTGAGACCACGCTGTCTCTCAACCTGACCAAACATTGAATGTGCATAGCTTATTGAATGAAAGGGCTCTCCTATGTCTTCAAGAAGCTTCATTGATACTAGACTATCCTTCCCTCCTCCATTAAATGCTAGACAACGAACAGGGCCACTTTCAATGCTAATAACAGGATTCTTACTGCAACCAACGTCAGATCCAAAGAACTCAGGCCCTTTCCAATTTTTGAGGTTGTTTAAAAATCTCCATTCACCAAATGATTTGATGGTAAGTACTCGCCATAACTCTCCCAGTTTCTTATTGAAGTACTTAGACCAGTCCCCCAGGTCAATGTACTTGAGTGAAGGAGCCAGTGTACATAGTTTATTCATCTCGAATAATGCACAATGGAAGTAAATCTCCTCCATAAACGAGGCACCATATTTAGTGTCTAGCTCTTCTAGTTGGAATGGATACCAGACTGTGGTAGAGAAGTAGAGTCCCCCTGAGAGACGATACGACATGTACAGTTGTGGTCCAGAGTGAGAGATGAGCTCCAGCCTTGCAGTATCACCCAATGAGGCCACTCTTTCCTTCTCCTGTACATTTCTTGTTGCCATTACTCCAACCTGTACTTTAGTCTTGTGGCTTGTGCTGCTTAATTAGAGGTAGGGCAAATGGGAGTTACTGTAGATGCTTCAAAGTTACTTAACAATACTTAAAAAAACAATTCCAATAGCTTTGTCATTATTATCATCATCGTTATTATTATGTAGATCTAATTGCTGCATCAATTATTATTATTGTACTTATTCTCTCAATCATCATCAATAATTGGTGCATACATGTACATGAATGGTTACACTGTTTTAATTAAAATTAATTAAAAGTTCCTTCATCGTCGTCCTCTTGGAGCACCACGTCCCCTGCCACGCCCCCTACCTCTTCCTCTTCCTCTACCACGTCCCAAAGCAACTATAACAATAAAAATTAAAAATTCTTTAAAATTAATAGCAACATTTTGAGTATGTAGCAACAAATTTGCCAAATTAAAATACATTGAAAATTAATTTAATCAATTTGCCAAATTTCCTTCAGCGGTGCAGTCAAACCTGTCTATTCTAGACACTTTAGGACCCAATGATACTGTCCTGATTATGAAAGTTTCCTTATTTTAGAGGCTTATCAATTTTATGTTGCATTGAAGCTAATACCACTTGCTTATTGCTAAACTATCCATAATAGCAGGTTTGACAGTAAATATTACACACCCATAACTACCTGTACAGTCATAGGTACATATGTTGATTGTCACAAACCTTCTTTCTTTTTAGTTTTTCTTCTTGTAGTATCATCAACCAGCAATGTATCCAGAGGGACACTCTCAGGTAAAATATAGTATCTGATGTTGTTTCCTCTTAGACTCAGTGTGTCCAGTGCCAGGGGCTCTCTACCTTTCAGTGTCAATTTGACCGACTTTAAGTGAGTGTTCATACTCATATCAACACCTAATGACAATAATATTAACTACACAGCCAAGAATTATCATGCCGATACAGTACTACTGCCCAAAGTCAATGAATCAGGTCTGATTACTTAAGTGATGCAGTTCTGATAGGCTATCAGGACTGTATCACTTAAGCAATCAGGCCTGATTCATTGATTTTGGGCAGTATAGCACTGTATCAGCATGATAATTCTTGGCTGCATGTGTAGGTGAATGTAAACATTGAAGGGGCGAGCATGAGCCATCAATTAACATTGTTTGAAATAAGATTGAACTAAATAAAATCAATCCAGCTCTTAGCCTGCATGCATGTTCAGACCCCATCCTCACGGCCGGGGTCTGAAAAGAGCAAACACACCAGTTAACACAACCAAAATAACCCAGTAAAAGAGACAAGAATGAACTGTCTTGCCACTCAGAAAAATGAGCCAAGCTAAAAGTCTCAGTTATCAAGCTTCTCTCTCAATTTTAATTCTGTCAATGAGAGGACTAATCTAGAGGAGTCTTAGATCAAACTGCTTTTAAGTTCTTCAGCCTTTAGAGATGCTTTAGACAGCCCCTCTCTCTTATCAGCTCAAACTTCTACACAACACAAGTACATATGCAAAAGTAAAAATAATTAAAAATGGAAAATTCTCTCCGCCAAGTCAATTTTGCCAAAATACATACATGTAGTAGAACACTATTGGGGCAACGAAGTTAATCTACAAGGCATGATTTAAAATAGCAAAAACTCATTAAAGCTACATTGAAAATATTACTAGATTCACTCCATAGTATATAATTAGTAGGTGTGGCTTACCAGCAACTGTCCCATGTACTACAGTACCATTCTTCAGCTCTATAGTGACAGTTTCATGATTTAGTTTCATCAAAAACCTTTATTATTAAAATAATGATAGATAAACCACTATTGCATCTATATCTAACCTCACTAGCTTCATCTCTCAAAGGATCCAAAATGATTTTCTTTTCCAGACTCTTATTACGTTTGTGTGTATAGTACTGGTGGTGGGCGTTAATTAGAATCGTCGCTATGGTTACGGTTGTTGGAACACTTGATTGAAGATGGCGGCTAGTTTGTCTCGGACAGTAAGCGAGGTATCCGGGTCACTGGTTAGTGATTCGTCGAATCCAGTGCCTCCTGAGTCTCTACTGGAAATGGAAACTGACCAGATCAAGCAATTGTTGGAACAAACCGAGTAAGAATCAGTATTAATTAATTTAATCATACAAACCAATATTTTTTGTCATTATTATGAGTTACAAGATGTCACTTGCATATACTTTGCACTAATTTTTGCAGTTTGGCAATCAAGACCTTTATCAGCTTAAAATTTTGGATGTATGTGATTATATGTACATCAGACAATTTAAAATAGAATATACATGTACATGTACTGTAGATACATGTACATTTATGTGGCTAATAACAAATTAACACACTGAGAAGGACTGACTTCACATGTTCATGATTGTTTAATTACAGGCATACTTGTAAATTTCTTGAGAAAGAAGTTAACATGTTTGAAAAATTTATTAAAAGACTTGATCCTAAAGACATGATGGGTAAGTAGTAATATAAACCTGTACAGTACATGTACATTGTATTTATAGTGAGTAAAAATACATGTTGTACATTGCTCTTGTACATGTACATGTATGTGTACATGCACGTACATGTACATGTATATGTACATGTAGTCATGTACTATATATCCTTAAAGAAAAGCTGGATGTGAATAAGCGCTGGGGTAGCAATAGAATGGAAGTATAAATACACAAATCTAGCCTTCTTGTAACTGAGATACATGGTAGATAGTTCCTTAAGTTCTTGAAGTCAAGTGCATGAGGTCCCTGGTTTGAATCCCGCTCTAGGCCAAAGTTTTTTTATTTAAAAATTTTTTTGAGGTTCAAATACCATTTTATGAAATAGATGCCTGGGCTTTTAATGGTACATGAGAGAGATGTAATTTTTTGTATTATTTTTCAGTTTCTAATGCAGCAGCAGCTCAGCTGGAGTCACGTGTGCTGCCAGCAGTGGGAGGAGGGCAGAGGAAAAAAGGAAGACAAAGAATAGGAGGACCCAGTGTGGAAAAGTACATAGTAAAAATATAAAATGAATGTGCATAATAACGATAATGATGATTTTTACAATGTATGTACATTGTACATGTGTACATGTACATGTAAGAGACTGAAGGTAGAATGTAAATTTTAATTTATTCAGTATTCTCAGTGACGTACATGTAAAGTTGGTATTCTTGTTTTTTATATTATACATGTACATACATACACATGTACATGTACTTATACTCTTGTTACATTGTTTTTTTGTTGTTGTTATTATTATATCTGTGTAGGCTATTGAAGTTAACATTGGAACAGAAGTGTGACATAGCTAGCAGGGAACTGGATGAACTGAGGGAAGAAGTGAACAAGAAATGTAGAGAAAAAGAAAAAACACTTGACAACCACAGGGTATGGAGAGAGAGAGAGGGAGGGAGGGAGGGAAAGAGGGAGGGAGGGAGAGGGAGAGGGAGAGAGCATGTTTTAAGATAAATGGAGAGAGAGATACATGTAGGGAGAATGAGGGAGAGAAGGAGAGGGAGCAACAAGAGAAAGAAGCATGTATATTATGTATGTGTAAAAGCATAGAGACAATTAAAGTTAATGTACATGTAATAGGGCGTATTCATTACTTTTATTTGAATAATTATAAATTACGGTCAATGGGGCAGAAGTGCATTATTAGTGCAATGTCAATGGCAATGCAGTCCAAGATAGAGGCCTTGTTGCCAGGTAGAGAAGCAGAGGAACTGAAAGTTGCTGGGCTCAAACACTTGCTTGAGTCCATAGGAAAGTCCATGTAAGGAAGAAAGGTGATTGCACAAATTAATGTTTTCTTACCTTTCTTATAAACCAGCTTTTCTTCCTTACATGGACTTTCCTATGGACTCAAGCAAGTGTTTGAGCTCAGCGACTTTTGGTTCCTCTGCTCCTCTACCTGGCAACAAAGCCTCTATCTTGGACTGCATCACCATTGACATTGCACTAATAATGCGTTTCTGCCCCATTGACTGTAATTTATAATTATTCAAATCAGAGTAACAAATACACCCTATTTGTAGATGCTGTGCTTATACAATGTAGTATTATAAAAATACATGTACATCTACACTGTACATGTATATGTACAGGTTGATTGCGTTACTTTTATTATTAGGCTATGATAACAGAGTGTGACTTCTTATTGTCTGAATTAACAAAATCTTCCTATGAGTTTCAAAGAGACATAATAAGAACAACAAATAAACAAGTAATTAATAATAATAATAATAAGTATACTAATAATAATAATAATTAATAATTTACGATGTTACAATGTATGTGTACATTGTACATGTACATGTTTGTGTGCTTTAATTGTAACATGCAGTTAAGTTACATGTTGATGTACTGTAGCTTTAAACTGGTTTTGTCTATTTCATTTTTGTTGCAATAATTATACAGATATACTGTACAAATGTATATACATGTACATGTACATGTAGATATGTTCTATTCGTTTACATGTACATGACATGTTTTAAAACAATACTATACATGAATAATTAACAGATTAACGATTCTATTCACATGCATGTAAGTGTGTAATACTTAGTAATTCTATGATTCATTAGCAATGAGCTAATTATTGTGCAAGTAAGTGTACTACATGTACATGTATTTTTAACAGGCATAAAACTACATAAAAATACATGTAACTACAAGTACATGTATATGTATTTTTTCTTTTACGTACTCCTCAGTGTAGAGCTACAATTCATTGCATGCTAATACTAGTGTACATGTACATGTACAGAACATACATGTACATACAGTATGTTACATGTATCTAACATGATCCATCTACATGTACATGTAGCATGTAAAAGCACATGTACATGCAACTGCTCAATACACTTGTACTGTTGTACATGCATGACTGGTTGTTAACTTTATGTTGTTTTTAGAGAGGTAACGTGTTGACTGAGAAGCTATTCAGATATTTTGAAGAGTACATTAAATCAAGAGTAAGAGATCTAAGAGATCATTAATTATTATTTTGTTTATCATACATTTTAATTATTGACATTGATAAAATTAATAATTTATTTCTATTTTTTGATAATTGTAGGATAGTTTGGTTGAGAAGATTGGCCTAAAGAATTCAGCTATGAAAGTGAAAAGAAAGAAATTAATGAACCAACTGAAACAAGTAATAATAATAATATTGACAATTAAGCCACACTTATATATACAATGTATGTAAATACTGTAACATACATGTGTACATGTATGCACAATACTTGTACATGTATTTGTAATTTGGCAGTCAAAGATTCATTTTTTGTTAAAATTTTAATCATTTCTTTTATACTATAGAATGTCCATACATGCATGGACAATGTACATGTATTTATTTAAACAAAATACAAGTTTAAATATTTTTTGACCAAACCTTAAAACCTTGTTTTGTGCATGTCATATTTACAACGTACAGTACAATGTATGTACATGTACATGTACTCTTGTACATTATTAATACATGTACATTTACATGTATTTCTACGTCCATAGAAAGAGGAGAGCGGTGAGGTCAGACACGAAGTTGATTACGATCAATTGAAAATTGAAAACAAGCAGTTACACGAACGCGTTGATGAGAAGAACACTCAACTACTTGAGCTCAAACTCTCAGCAGGAAAGACAATGCAGACGCTGAACTATTATAAGACTAAAGTATCCGGTATGTCAGCTGATAGTAAGAGACTGGATGATGAGATAGCACAGAGACAGGAACTGCTATCTAAAATAGAAACCGAATCAGAACTAGTAACTATTGTAAGTACATGTACATGTACATTGTACGTAATTATACATGTACTACATGCAGACGTCCACATAAGCATTCTAAATACAATATATACATGTACATGTACATGTACATGTATGTACAGTACAGTGTCTTATTTATATCATAGTTATGTTCTTACTTATAGTGACATGTGCATGTACATGTACATGCACAAGTTTACATTAATTAAAAAGTACATGTACATGTAGATGATGTGCATGTATGTACATTCTATATTGTATAACTTAATTTTGCTTTCAATTATTAATTTACTGTTATTAGACACAGTACATGTACGTAGCTGTACAGCTTCTACGTGTTATTTTTATGTTTATTTATCATTTATAGGAGAAGTCAAGGGCTGAAGAGTCTAATAAAGGTATTCATTCAAGACTGGACAATTATCGTGTACCTGAAGTAAGACCATTCTCCTGGTTTCCTATGCATTGTATAACTATAACTTAATTAAGCAAAATGTACTGTACATAAAATCCCTGCTGGGCCGTGGGCCAAATTTTGCCAAAATTAAACAGAATAGAATTTGCCATTTTTGTATTTTTATTGATGCATAGAAAGTTTGAGCTGCATGATTCCAATCAAAATTGGATTTTTTATGATTTTTAAAAGTTGCTCAAAAATCATTATCATCATTATTATCATAAACAGGTAATGGCCTATGTATCAGAGAGAGCTAGTCAGTATGAACTAATGAAGACACTGCATATCTGGCAAAGAAAAGTTGAAATAGCCGAAGTAAATTTAGCATCCTACACACACAACATGTACATGTACGTATACACATGTACATGTACGTGTACATCATAGACAGTAGTGATGAATAGTAGTAAGAAATACTCATCATAGACTTGATGTAGAGTATACAAGTACATGTACATGCATTGAATTTACATCAGTACACTCTGTATGTAGTACTTTCGTGTAACTACATGTACATGTACATGGCTGCTCCTTATTATTATTATTATTTGAAACAAAAAAATTGACAGCATAAACTATTAAATTTCACATACCACAATCAATTAATTAATTTAGAACGACAATAGTACTTATACTTGTGGAATTATTTGTCAATGAGCTATGGATATTTTTATTAATAGTAATTTTGCTCTTTTTATTTAATTATTAGATGACATTAAGGACGCATCAACAAACATGGCATCAGTTGACCAAACGATCACTTCAATACAAAACAAACTAAAAATAAAACCACATGATATAATTATATAACACTGCACACTCCATCAAGTAAAGTATTATTATATAAAAATATAATTTGAATAGCTATAAAAATATACAGTACTACTACAAGCAGTTCTACAATTAATAAATCTTCACTATGCACTGTAATAGTTACATTTCAAGTCTTGCTAGTTCAGATGTGTATATCCCAATACTCTCCATGTCATACAGGACAAAGAAGACCTGCTTTACAGATCCACTGGTCCCAGTATAATAATCTTTAATAGTGCGGAGTATACTTTGAGCTGATGTCTGCTTAGGAAAGCTGTTAGACCCACTAGCTATGGATGGGAAACCAACTGAAGACAACTTATGCTTCTCTGCAACATTCAAACAAGATTGAACCGACTTCTCTAGCTTTGATAAAGCATCATCGCTACCCCAGGAAGGACTATGAACATGTATGACATGAGCACAAGGGAGTGAGCCTGCTCCACTGATAACAGCATCACCGACACCAATACTACCTTTAGATGAGGTTTGGTTCACTTGTGTCCTAAAGGCAGGCCCTCCAGCATTACTGAGTGCTGATCCACACTGACCCGATAATGACAGACTACCGTTAGTTGGATGAATGACTGCATCACACGCGATGGTTGATATATCTCCCTGGACTACCGTCAGTTTCTGACCCCCTGACAATATCTTTTCGCTTAATGTAGTGTATCCTTTTCCGGACCCCTTGGTAACAGGAGTAACGGTCTCTGGACCTGGCAGTGACAATAATTTACGACCCCTTCCCTTACCCTTCTTGCTAGGAGCAGCAGGTGTGGGTCTCTTCCTTTTAGAAACAGACGTTGGTTTCTTCATAGATGGTTTCTTGCTGCTTTCCTTCCTTTTTGAACTCAGTAAAGACTGGTGTATGTTAGGCAGTACTCCTCCTTCCCGTATTGTGACTCCTGACAACAACTTGTTGAGCTCTACATCATTTGCAATGGCTAGTAACAAGTGCCTCGGGTTAATCAGTCTCTTCTTGTTATCCCTTGCTGCGTTCCCAGCTAACTCCAGCACTTCGGCTGCCAAATACTCCAGTACAGCTCCTAAATAAACTGGGGCACCTACTGCTATCCTCTTTCTTAAGCAGGCCTTTTTTAGGTATCGGGATAAACGAGAAACGGGGAACACTAGGCCGGCTTTAGCTGATTTACTCAGCCTCTGGGTCTTACGCCTTGCTGTCGTTGATCCTCTAGCACTCATGACTCACTGAGCACAGTCTTGTCTTCTTTTGGCAGAAAAGGACGCGAAGAGAATAATCACGTGATGCAATTGGAATGCGTCAATTAACTTGGTTTCTATGGCAATATGCTCATACACGCCCACGCAATCGCAAATTCATTTTAAGGTATTAAGAATCAGTATCATGGAATGTAAATGGACATTGTTACAATAAAAATCAATTAATAATTATTAATTAATAAGTATAATACTAACTACATTTTGAACACAAAGCCTTCTTCTTTTTCATTTCTTCATCATCAGGACTACTAGTTGCTCTAATGGTCTTCCTTCTCTCTATTGGAGTATCACTCAGTAAATAGGCCAGATCATCAAAGAGTTCATCAAATCCACCATCATTATTCTTAGTCGATATCTCATACTTTAAACTATTGTCTATTCCACAAAATTCAGCAACTTCATTGACTCTATTTGCACTCACTGTCCTATTGAGATCAACCTTGTTACCAACCAGTAAAACTTTGAGTGAATCTACTGTATCTCCAATCCTGTGCTTACTGAAGCTTTCAGACCAGTTCCTTATATTACCAATGCTCTCTTGATTATCAACTGCATACACTAGTATGACTGCTCTTGCGTGTCTGAAGTAAGTGGGTGGGATTGTCGATGTGTATCTCTCCATGCCTGCTGTGTCATAGAGTGTCATCTAAAAATAGAATATGAGTGTTACTATAAATAGAATAGCAGCAATAACAGAATATGAGTATTATAAACTGTTAGTGCCATTAACTTATTATGATAGGATACGAGTTAGTTGTTACTATAAATAGAATACAAGTGTTACTTACTATAAATAGAATCACTAACATAATTATTATTTCTAAAACTTAATCAGTCTAAAAATAAATTACAAAGCAGAGCAATGTCAAAGTGGGAATTAGTGTTGCATAACTTTTCTAGTTTCAAAATAATATTAATTCCAAGCTATTTTAAATTTCTACTAAAAGTGCAACAGTAGTTCCAACATGCATACATACATGTACACGTGTAGCATTTTTTGGAAAAAAAATACCGTATAGCGGGAAATTTTGGAAGGGATTAAATTTGGCAAATTTGGCATTTTGATAGCCAATCGCCAAAATAAAATCCACCATTTTGAGCCATTATACGCATGCTCAATGGCAAATGGCCACAAATTTGTCAAATCCGCCAATCACCAAAATTCAGCCCCTCCAAATTTACCCACTATACGGTAAATTTCTCCAAGTTAAACTTGCAAAATACCAATACGTGACAAAATTTCTATTGTGAACATTAGATATGGAAATACCATTATGATACATGTATAGTGTATCTGGTTTCACTTGGTTATAGACACACACATACATTATAAACGATAAAATTGTTAGGCTACTGTCAAAGCTAACATAACAAACATCAATGAAACTGTGGGTCAAGTCCGAAATAACAAGGGAACAACTTTAAAAATCTTAATTTTCATTATGGCAACTAATAAGACAAGGTTTACAACTGGTTCAAAGGTTATGGTGAATACCCCTAACTCACAATTATTACATAATATTTAAACTTTACTATTTACTACACACAGCTACAGTTAACAATATTAATATAATTATCAAGTTTATTGTTAAGGCGGGATCTCAATATGACGCATGGGTATCTGTCATGACCCGAAGTGCTGTATAAACCAATGGGAACATGCATCAATGCGTCAGATTAAATCATTTCTATTCTTACGCATTGATGCATAGTTCCATTGGTTTATACAGCACTTCCGGTCATGACGCTAGTGCAGGAAAAGCAATGCGTCATATTGAAACCTACCTTTAGACATAGGAACAAATTTCGAGAGACCAATCTAACTAAAGTTGTGAGAGTTAAGGTGCCAGTATATTTGTCTGTGAAAAGTAATTGGTTAATACTATATTGGACAATTCCTTATCATCTTGTACATGCACTGTATACGGTAATTTTGGAGGGAATAAAAATCTGAAAAATTTGACGTTTTTAATTTTGATAGCCATTTGCCAAATTAAAACCTGCCATTTTTAAACTATGGTCACAAATTCGCTAAATTGAAACCCATCAAACATCAAAATTCTAGCAAATCTATCACTCACCTTCAAAATTTAATACCTGCTATATTGTGCAATCATAGTATACATTAATTTAGTATCAACAAATATTTACCTGTACTTTTGTACCCCTCACAGTCCATTCCTTGTAATGCTCTGCTAGGTACCGAGTGGAAGATGTTGTCTCTATAAAACGATCAGTTTTAAATCTGAGGAACATTGACGTTTTTCCAACTGTTTCATCGCCGACCAGTACTACCTTGTTAGTTGTTGGATCTACACGTTTATCTGATTCACCGCTCAGTGACATGATAGAGTTTAAGAATGAAAGGTGGCTGGCTTTGTGATTGAACAGGCCACAGGCAGACCTAAGCTAGGGGCGGGGCTGGACAAGGTTTAATATTCTACAAAATGCGCATGCGCAAAACCACGTGTATTCACGTGATGCCAAATGGAGCATCATAAAGGGTGGGTGTACAAGGAGTGCAAGCATAATTGGTGCACTTGGCTGATATTTTGTCAACAGATTGACTCGGTTAGTGGGTGCATCTTGGTCATTTATGGGTACTAATCAAGAGTGCTTAATATTATGTACATACTCATGGTGCCAATGTGAATGTACCAAAAAATGACACCCCAGATCAGTCCATACTCCTCCCAGTCTGGGGCCAGACTATCCCAGGACCCAGTTCATAAGTTGAGGTTTGTCTCTACAGATATTAAATATCTGTAGAGTAGTAATGTGGACATCATTGTGGACGCAGTATATTGTATTTTCAATATGAACATGAAATAAAATCTAACAAAATAAGTTAAACTAAAAACCTTAATTAAAATGATATTTTTGTTCAGTCCAGCCTTAGTTCTAAAAAATACAAAGCATTATTTGATGTTGCAGGTGCTTGTTTGTGTAACCAAGCAATGCTTCCGTTTTAATCCTATTGATAACATTGCTCATAATAGACAACAATTTAAACAAACATGTTTACAGTCGAAAGTGAATATGCAATTTCTACTTGATAAGGCTAGCAACTCACAGACACATTACAGCTATAACATTAAGGTAGCAAATTCGTGAAAGCTGGTAATTTAAATAGTGTAAGATGATGTTGTGGCATTTGAAGGTTTTACTGTTTGAGCAGAAGAACTTTGATGGTATGTTTTTCCCCGTTTTATGCTCCTGGACAAAGTTCGATGACCCTTGACAATAGCATCCTTTATGTCCCTCCTGAAGAATGATTGCACCAAAGGAATGAGAACAGTCAGAAGTAAAAGGACAACAAAAGCTACAGCATATGCTGCTGGTGTTAAAACATCAGTGAAAATCTCAATCAATCCAAATGAAACAATAGGTGCATAGCACAATTTGTGTACTATTATCAGCATACCAAATAATCCAATGACTCTCCTCTCTTGAGCTGCATATGGGTTACCTGGGCTTGCTGCAGTGGATATGTTTGTTGCAGCATTTTTAAGATATTTTCTAGTGAAACACATTGTCCATATAGATGTGACTGTAATGCTTCCAATGAATATTGATATGACTATAAAAGAAAATATAGCATACCCTGC